CCCCTTCTCCATGACCCCTGTGTCCCCACCCCACCGTGTCCCCTCTGTCATCCATGTTCACGCCCCACATGTTCTTGTCCCCCCCCATGTCCCATCCTACCGTGTCCTCCTTGCGTCCTCACCCCACCACGTCCCCTTCCCAAGTCTTCCTCCATGACCCCTGATGTTCTCCACCCCTCCGTGTCCCCATCCCACCATGTCCCTGTTCCATGTCCATGTCTCCCCAAGTCTACGTCCCATCGTGTCCCTCCTTTCTGTCCCGTCACCCACGTTCATGCCCCAAATGTCCCCCCATGTCCCATCCCACCATGTTCTCCTTGTGTCCCCACTGTCCCCATCTCCCACATCCCCGTCTCCTCTGTCCTTGTCCCACCATGTCCTTCTTCCACGTGTCCCACCCACATTCTCCACCGCACTGTCCCCATCCCCATGCCACCACGTTCCCCACCCCCGCCACGTCCCCACCTCTCCTCTTCATCGTCCTCGTCCCCCATGGCGTCATCGATGGCATCGTTCATCAGCTCCTCTTTCATGTCCATGATCTCCGCCTGCTTCTCAAACTCCATCATGATCTTCTGTATCTGGGGCAGCTTCAGCTGGGGGGCGACAGGAACATGGCATGTGGCCCACAGGGATGTGTGGATGTCCCCATGGCCATCTCAGGTGGTTTGTGGTGGCTACAGGTCGTGGGGTTGTCCCCATGGCCATCTTGGGTGGTTTGTGGTGGCTATGGGTCTTGGAGATGTTCCCATAACCATCTCAGGTGGTTTGTGGTGGCTACAGGTCGTGGGGTTGTCCCCATGGCCATCTTGGGTGGTTTGTGGTGGCTATGGGTCTTGGAGATGTTCCCATAACCATCTCAGGTGGTTTGTGGTGGCTACAGGTCTTGGAGGCGTCCCCATGGCCATCTCAGGAGGTTTGTGGTGGCTACAGCCTTGGGAATGGCCATCTTGGGAGGTTTGTGGTGGCTACGGGTCTTGGGGACATCCCCACGGCCACCTTGCATGGTTTCTCATGGTCTTGGCCACATCCCCCGAGGCAGCTTATGATTGCCACAGTCTCACAGACATCTTCATGGCCACCCCAAGCAGCTTTGTGGTGGCCATGGCCACAGGGACATGCCCCTCAAGCAGCTGGTGGTAGCCATGGTCTTGGGGACACCTTCATGGGCTTCCCAGGGCAACCTCTGGTGGCCACAGCCTTGGGGAGTCTCCTACGGGGCAGCTTGTGGTGGCCACAATCTCAAAGACATCCCATCCCCATGGCCACCTCAGGGCAGGTCACAGCCTTGGTGACGTCCCCATGGGCACCTACCTGCCGGTTCATGGTGGCCATGGCCTTGGTGACGCCCTTCATGGCCTGGGCCATGGAGTTGTTGGACTTGAGGGTCTGGATCTTGAGGGACACGGCCTGGACATTGGCCCTCATGGTGATGAACTTCTTCACATAGCGTCGTGTCCGCACCAGGTCCTTCGCCATGATCTTCACCGCGTCCTGAAGGCCACGGGGAAAAGGGACACTGAGTGGCCATAATGTCCCCCAAGAGGCCAAGGGGATCTCCAGGGACCCCTCAGTGTCCCTCGGGGCCCACCATGGTCCCCAGCATCATCTCAACAGTCCCCTTGTCCCCACCATGGTCACATGGGGACTTCTATGGTCCCCCCTCACCATGTCCCCCTGGTCCTCTCCAAGCACCCATGTCGCTGCCATGTCCCCAAGTCCCCTCCACGGTCCCCAGGCCACCACTGGGGTCCCCCAGTCCAACCACTGTCCCCCAGGTCCCTTCCACGTCTCCTGGCTCCCCCCAAAGTGTCCCAATCCCCTCGATGTCCCCACTGGGGTTCCCTCCAAGAGACCTAGGTCCTTCCGTGTCCCCGTGTCCCCTCTGTGTCCCCCTGTCCCCATTGCAGTCCCTTGGTCCCCTCCATGTCTCCTCTCCAGTTTTCTGTCCCCACTTTGTCCTCTGGTCCTCCCTACAGTCCCTTGGTCCACTCCATGTCTCCACCTTGTCCCCTGGTCCCCACCACAGTCCCTTGGTCCCCTCCATGTCCCCATGTCCCCTCTCCAGTCTCCTGTCCCACCTTGTCCCATGGTCCCCAAAACAGTCCCTTGTTCCCTCCATGTCCCCATGTCCCCTCTCCAGTCTCCTGTCCCCACCTTGTCCCATGGTTCCCTCTGCATCACCCTGTCCCCAACTTGTCCCATGGTCCCCACCACAGTCCCTTGGTCCCCTCCATGTCCCCATGTCCCCACCTTGTCCCCTGGTCCCCTCTGCATCACCCTGTCCCCAACCTGTCCCCTGGTCCCCTCCATGTCCCCATGTCCCCTCTCCAGTCTCCTGTCCCACCTTGTCCCATGGTCCCCAAAACAGTCCCTTGTTCCCTCCATGTCCCCATGTCCCCTCTCCAGTCTCCTGTCCCCACCTTGTCCCATGGTTCCCTCTGCATCACCCTGTCCCCAACTTGTCCCATGGTCCCCACCACAGTCCCTTGGTCCCCTCCATGTCCCCATGTCCCCACCTTGTCCCCTGGTCCCCTCTGCATCACCCTGTCCCCAACCTGTCCCCTGGTCCCCTCCATGTCCCCATGTCCCCTCTCCAGTCTCCTGTCCCACCTTGTCCCATGGTCCCCACAACGGTCCCTTGGAGCCCTCTTCATCCCCTGGTCTCTTCCATGTCCCCTTGTCCCCTCTCCAGTCTCCTGTCCCCACCTTGTCCCATGGTCCCCTCTGTATCACCCTGTCCCCAACTTGTCCCCTGGTCCCCACCACAGTCCCTTGGTCCCCTCCATGTCCCCATGTCCCCTCTCCTGTCTCCTGTCCCCACCTTGTCCCATGGTCCCCACAACAATCCCATGGTCCCCTCCATATCTCCATGTCCCCTCTCCAGTCTCCTGTCCCCACCTTGTCCCCTGGTCCCCTCTGCATCACCTTGTCCCATGGTCCCCAAAACAGTCCCTTGTTCCCTCCATGTCCCCATGTCCCCTCTCCAGTCTCCTGTCCCCACCTTGTCCCATGGTCCCCACAACGGTCCCTTGGTCCCCTCCATGTCCCCATGTCCCCTCTCCAGTCTCCTGTCCCCACCTTGTCCCATGGTCCCCTCTGTATCACCCTGTCCCCAACTTGTCCCATGGTCCCCACCACAGTCCCTTGGTCCCCTCCATGTCCCCATGTCCCCACCTTGTCCCCTGGTCCCCTCTGCATCACCCTGTCCCCAACTTGTCCCCTGGTCCCCTCCACGTCCCCATGTCCCCTCTCCAGTCTCCTGTCCCACCTTGTCCCATGGTCCCCACAACGGTTCCTTGGAGCCCTCTTCATCCCCTGGTCTCTTCCATGTCCCCTTGTCCCCTCCGTATTCTCCCACCCCGTCTCTGCTCTCCTGCTGCCCTCTGTGTCCCCCACCCGTGTCCCCTCACCATCTGGCCCTGCTTGGCCATCTTCTTGATGTCGACGATGATCTTCTTCTCCTGGGCCTCCAGCTTCTGGCGCTCGCGGTCCAGCTCCCGCATGGCGCGGGTCAGCGCCCGCTGGTTCTGCCGCAGCAGCTCCTCCGGCGTCTTCCGCCGCCCGAACAGCAGGTCCATGGTGACAGCGGCACCTGGGGACACGGAACGGGGGGGACACAGCCACGGGGGACGTGGGTGGGAGGGCACAGACCAGGGGGGGTCGGGGGTGTGGGGAACACGGGGACATGGCGGGACACGGGGACGTGGGGGGACAGGAGAACATGGTGGGACATGGTGGACACAGATATGGGGGACAGGGGACATGGGGGGACATGGATATGGGGGACACGGGGAACATGGTGGGACATGGAGGACACAGGGACGTGGGATATGGAGACAAGGGGGAAGATAGGGACACGGTGTGACACAGATATGGGGGACATAGGACATGGTGGGACATGGACACAGGGACATGGGGAGACACGGGGACATGGTGGACACAGATATGGGGGACATGGAGGGACATGGATATGGGGGACACGGGGACACAAGGGGACATGGTGGGACATGGTGGACACAGATATGGGGGACATGGGGACATGGT